GTTCTTCGGAGAGCCGAGTTCGAACTCCAGTCGGATCCATTCTAATACCCTTGGGAAAGGTATGAATCCTCTTCTTCTCCACCTATTGCTATGGGTAAATAGAAGGACAGACTGGTTTCTATAGCCTTGGCTGGCAACCGGTCTAGGAGAAAGAAAAATCTGAATTCAAAACCGGCCTAGGGAGGGTTGGGCTACGGTAGGCTATCTTGCCCAAGAAACACCGCATCTACTGCGGTTGCAGTACACATAGTATTCCTACGAATACTATCACGAGATAAAAAAAAATCATTTTACTAAAGACATGTATTTCAAATAAGATTTTTACTAAAGGAATCCATTACAAATCAGTTAAAGAATATTGACAATGGTTTGGAATTAATGCATAGCCACTGACAGAAGAAAGCTGTTATATTGTAATTCAAAATGTACAGGGTGGTTCGAAAGTCTTGTCACCACTACATAATATGATTTTCTATTTCAACGCTTTGTATTGTCAAGGATAGTGTTTCTCATGAAAGATACCAGAATAACAATCAGTTGAAGAACGCCGGCCGGAGATTCTCTACAGCAATCAATAAAGCACAGCTTTGTAAAATATCACACAGGACATGGCGCCGAATCATTTTGTGTCATGAAAATGATGACATTCATTCCGACCTTCTAGATGTGTGACAACGTCAATGAAAGCGAATAAACTGAATCCAGTCCATGTGATTTTTATTAGTGTATTAATGTATTACTTGTTTTTTTTTATTGTTCTCATTACTTTTTGGTAAAGGGGTGACTTTCGGACCACCCTGTAGTTAAGTTTATTAATTCATCAATAATGACACCCCTTCGATATAAACCGAAGGGGTTAAAAATGTCTCATAGCGAATCTTAATTTTGATATATAAGTAAGATTATATACAAGGTGTGGCAATGTAATTCCCGGTGAAAGTAGCATTTGCATATTTGGTAACAGCTTCGTAAAATATCACACTGAACATGGTGCAGCATCATTTTATGCCACGAAAACAATGTGGATCATACAGACCTTGTGTGACAGCGTAAATGAAAGTGAATAAACTAAATCCAGTACAAATGCTTTATACTACTGTATTACTTGTTCTTTTGTTCTCATTACTTCTTGGTAAGAGGGTGACAAGTCATTCGGACCAATCTGTACCTTCAAATATTCGCTATGCAATAAGAGAAACTTAACATCAAATCTTATTAACGCACTGTGACAAAGAAAACATTTAACCATGGACAATAAAAGCCATTCTCTTTCTAGTGTACATTTTTGTTTATCGGAAAGTGTCATCATTATCCTTTAAAAGTCATTGATTTTTCCCTGTGTTTGACGAGATTGTCGAGTCAGTCATTGGGAAATTCGTTGGCTGCTGGAATAGCACATCACCTTGCTAATCGTGACGCGTGACCTTCATTTAGAAACATTTGTTATTACGCTTGTGTAGCAGGGAGCATTTGAAGTCACGGTTTTCGTTCCATGCTTGCTCTGCCCGTTACAAATTAATTCCAAAAAGAGAATCACAGAAAGATGTGGAGGGTCATGACTGCCTATTTCCTGACACAGGTAAAGAGAAAGAAGAGAAAGAGCGACCGAGAGAGAACGTTTTTGATAAGTTTGACTAAAGAAATAATGGTGTAAGATTCACATACACACTTGAATAAATAAATAAATATATACTTTCTCATTTCCACGTAGATAAATTTAAAAAAAAAAAACAAAAAAAAAAAACAGTGGCAAATAAAGAAGGCTATTTTCCCTTAGATAATGAGCCACGTGACACTACAATAGTCATGTGATCCGTCAGCATAAAGGCGGCGCCAAATTCAAAAATGTTCCCTTTAGTCGCGCGCTTCCGCACAAGGCCGATGATAATGTTCCCACGCTTTAAGTTATCGCATCATTTCGGTAATTTGCACTAAAACCATGGTGTATATATCTACATATTATATATATATATATATATATATATATATATATAAAGAGAGACAGAGCGAGAGAAAATAAGATTTTGAAAAACTCCTAATATTTATATTTATTTATATGCAACATTTATAATACATGTATTTTCACAGAGAAATATTAAAAATTGTGTTACGAGTGGGTTTTCAGGAAAAATTGTTTTACTTTTTTTACTTCAAATTGTTTTACTTTTTTTTCTTTAGCCGTTATCGTTTTTAGCTTTTCAAAAAGTTGAGAACAAAATCAATGAACCTAACGAGCTTTATATGTCGCCATGGTAACCATAGTGACATAGAAAGCCAGTTAAGCCCCTTGATTTTTTCATTTGTTCAAATGTTGAAATATTAAGAGTTACAAACTTTCTGGAGAGCTAAAAGTTACATTAAGTATATACTGTATTATATACGGTGCATAAATTATTACACATGATGTACATACATACACACAAATATTTTTTATTTATATATACTGTATATGCATTATATATATTAACTTGCATACACCTCATACTTACAAAGATTCACTAGAGAAAATTCACTGTCAGTAACTCCTTCTCGAATTGCCCCCATTAAAAATCAAAATGTCCCACCCCACTTTGGGAACCACGGATATATTATGGACTCTCCCGTTGATTTCAACGTATAGGGATCCGACAATTTCATTCAGTTTTTTATGTTTGTGTCGTATGTGACAATTAAGTCCCGCTAGTGGCATGCAAACAAGTTCATATAAAAATGCAACAGAGAGGATCTCGGGAAATAGTCACTAGACTATTTGCTGACACTTTTCACCGCTGTCTTTCGTCTCTTAATCGACTGATTTCTAAATTCATTATACCACAATATCTCCAGTTATTTCAATCCAGAGTAACTCGCTCGAAGTATGAAGCACACTGACAGGTTACTCTTTAGCTTGTCTTTATACCTGAGCCACGGTCGTCCAACAGTTCTTTGTCCACTGTCAAACTGACTATACATGAGGACCTTAGGTATCCTTGCAACGTGACCAGTCCAGCGAAGTTGCGACTCCATCAGGAATGTCTCAATTCCACTAATGTTGCATTTTGCGAAATCAGCATTGGACACCCTATCGTCAAAAGTATAGCCACAGATCGTGAGGAGACTAATTTTGTGGGTGACATCCAGCTGATTGATATGAGACCTATGTGAGGTCCAAAATTATAAGCCGTACAAAACGGCTGGTCTATAAACGCATATTTTAGTGTCCAATTCTTCTCTTATTCCATAGACAGTGGCGAAGCTTCCCAAATGAACTTGCAGCTTTGGCAATCCCATTTGATACTTCGTCATCAAGGGGTGCATTTGCATTCAACTTACTTTTTAAATATGTAAATGACTTTACATACTTCAAGTTCTACCCCTCAATCTGTATAGGAGTGTCTAGGAACACCCCCCCACACACACACACATATATATATATATATATATATATATATATATATATATATAAAAAGAACAGTAAGATATATAATCCGGTGTTCTTATTGATATTTTTATATTTACAAAACAGTGCTCAATGAAAAATTACAGAGCATAATTCTCTTGAAGATGAAACAGAACTAATGCTTTTAATTTAATTATATAATTAAATTTGAAGTTTTTAGCTTCAGTTTCTGAAACATGGTTATTACTGTGTAGCGAAGAAAACATATTTTAAATCAGTTAATTTATATATATATATATATATATATATATATATGAAGAAATTTAGTTTTAAGGTGTGCTATATTTATTGGATAAAGTGCTCAATATCAGAGATATCGCGTATGTAAATATAAAAGTGAACATTGAAGTCAACACTCAGAAGCAAAAGACTGTTTAATGCTAAAAGACAATCGTCATACTGGCCCGTATATATATATATATATAATTGAGAAAAACACAAAGCATGTAGCTTGATGATTGCGTTTAGCATGAGACAGTCTGTCGCCTCTGAGTTTTGACTTCAATGTTCACATATATATATATATATATATATATATATATATATATATATATATATAATCTTGTTTTATTCGGGACCTAATTCTTCCCGAAGGGAAACTCGTCTTGTCATTATGGGTCAATGTATGTAATGAGATAAATATGAGAGTGATATTTTGAATTATTTCCTTTTATACTGCTTTATACAATGCCACTTTGTTAGTGTTAAGATAAGTCCGAGCACATTTTGTTCCCCCATAAATGAATACGATTTGATTAAAGTTGTTTTTACGGCTTATCAACCCTTTGTAGATTATTTAAAATCGAAATAAATTTTGGAATACATAAAAATATTTTTTTCGTGTGTGCTGATCTTGCATTACTAATGTTTTTGAGAATAAGAAAGATTTTTTAAGATACAATTCCGACTATTTAACGTACAGCTGTAGAGAGGTAATTTGCACGTTAGTGGACGTAACGTACCCGGTTGGAATTCGAACTCGGTACCCCAAATTCTCCGTCCGGATCGCTACTTATTACACCACCCTCACATCCATAAGGGAACAGATACAACAGAAAAGGATTTACAAAAGCCCGAGTATTGCCGAGAGCAGCAAAAGACAGAACACTATGTAGAATCGTGATCGCCTACGTCCTGGAAGGATGCAGGAGAACGGAAGGGAAAGGAAAAGAGAGGATATAATGCAAAGGAGAGAGAGAGAGAGAGAGTAAAAAAGAGAGGTAGGGAGGGGACTTGGCCAAAGATGATTATCAAGTCCTATAAATGTTAGAGCTGGATATTTATCAGCTCTAATCACAAAGCTGTTCGATGCAAGAAACGAACAAATCCCGAATGCAGCCATAGCGATGCAAATGTGGGGTTAAGATTGGTAACAGGAAGGAAAGAATATTGACAAGTCCATCCGGCTAAACTGGACACGGGAAAGAACTGCCTGGTCAGTCAGTCATATCGAATGGCCCACTCTGTCCACATCCTTGGAAAGTGCGACTAGTTGTTGTCATGGCAACTAGGCCTGATTAATTATGGGAGCATAGAAACAAATCCGTTAGCGTGTTTGTTGTCATGGTTTAGAGGAAAGATAGAAGAAAGAATTAGAGGGAGGAAAGTGAAAACAGAAAGAGCGAAAAATGGACGAAACAACACATAAAAGAGAGATAATGTGGTGAGGAGAAATACATAAAGGAAATAAGGGAGGAGAATTCAGAAAGGAAGAGAAGAAAAAGGGAAGGTTAATTAGAAATAGCGGGGAGGTAGTAAGAAAAGAGAGCGTGTAAAACAGTGAAAGTAAGAAATGAAGCAAAGAGTGAATGTGTGGGTGATAAGAAAAAAGAAGAAATGAAAAAATAATCACAGAGAAAAAGAATCCGTAAAGAGGGGGAGGTAGAAAGAGAGAAATGCTGTAAAAGAGGGAAAGGGAGAAGTGCAATAAAGAAAGAGTGAACAAGTCGAAGAGAAGGAACGAATATAAGATGAAAATGGAGAGAGAATAAAGAGAAAGAAAATGTAGAATCCATAATGGGAGAAGAGGCAGAAACGATAGATACAGTAAAATACAAGAACCCAATAATGAGAGAGGGGTGAGGAAAATAGAATAAATAAATAAAGGAGTAAAATAGAGAGGGAGAGAGAGAAAGAGAGAGAGAGAAAGCGGAGGAAAAGAATCTACAAAAAGGAGAGGGGGCAGAAGCAAAGGAGACGAAGAAAAAGAGAGGGATGCAACAAAGAATGAGTGGAAGAATGAAAGAATAGAACGAAGACATATAGGATGATAATATCGTGAGAATTGAGAGAGAGAGAGAGAGGGAGAGAGAGAGAGAGAGAGAAGTGACTAATCGGAAGGAAAAAGGGTATAGAAAGAAGTGAGACAAAGTAAAAGAAAGGGAGAAAGGAAAGAAGTAATGAGAGAGGGGAGATGAGAAGAAATACACGGAAGAAATACAGGATGAGAATAAAAAAAGAATAGGGAGAGAACTAAAAAAAGAAGAAGAAATAACGAAAGGCTTAACTGGAAAGGGAGCGTGACAAGAGTAAAAAAAAAAAGATGCTATGAAAGAGAGGGGGGGATTGAAAAGACAAAGCCAGTAGAAAGAAGAGAGATGCGATAAAAGAGAAAAGAAAGCACAAAGAAAGAAGTGAGAGAGGAGCAGTAAAGAGGAAAGGAAAAGAAAGAAAGACAACGCAGAGAGAATGAAGAGGCGGAAAAGAAAGAAAGGTGGGGTGTAATAAAAGAGAGACAGAATAAAGTGAGACGGAAATTGTAAAGATTAGAAAGAAAGAACGAAAGAAAGAAAGAAAGAAAGAAAGAAAGAAAAGGGAGGATGATAAAACCGAAGAGAAAAATGGTTTGTGATAGAACTAAGAGACTGGCAAAACAAGGAAATGTATAAAGAAGAAAAATGATATCTGGAAAAAATAAAGACAAGAGAATATGATTTGATTGATTTTTTTATGGATTATCAACCTTTCGCAGGTTATTTAAAACTAGAAAACAATTTTAGAGTGTAAGAATTTTTTAAGACAATAATTATTTACTAATACAAATCCTACTAATAAACCTATATCTGGGGGAGAAGCGGTGGATTCATGCCTTTCTCAAGTGTGTGCGCGTAAGTAAATATAACGAACCTAACTGTAATTAGAACCCAGCACTACAATTTCGAGCCGTTATCCATTACACCATCCGCACATCCAAGCTTTTATTCTCAAGCGAAGGAGATCCGAAAAAAAGCATGTAAAACAGAGAGAACAAATATGATAATCATTTTTCTTCATATCAGTGATTAAAAATGGATTCAGTCGAATGAATTCTCCAAGTCTAAAGAAGAAAATCTTTCTAAAAACGATATCGATTGGCGCGAAAGACAGACAAACAGAAATCGTTATCAAATAACAACAATTTCACCAGCTGGAAACTTCCAAAAGCAGTAACAACTAAAACGGATAGGTCATGTAACTAGAAGGGAAAATAATAATATAATCAAAATGTTGAGTTTCCACATTACCTGAAACAAAAGGTTTGGAAGAAAACTCTTCTCAATTCTTGAAGGATCTATAATAAATAGTAAACACGTGAAACATATTTTCTTGAAAATCCTATTTTAACAGAAAGTTTTTTATAAATTTCAGCCCGCAATAATGGTTAATAAATGCCGAATATTTATTGTATGGAAACGACTAATTTCTCAATTACAGTTACCAGAGAGGATACCAGCCACAGATCGATAGGCAGTACAAAAGATAATCCTGTTAAGCAATGCACATCTTATGAAAAACTTCCGTCTCTTCTTAAGCCTTTCATTGCTTTTAAACAGTTGCTTCCAAATTAGACATGTTACTGAATGCAAAGTTCAGGGCCAGAACGGTCAGCGATTGGCCGAAGAGACTCGTGGGCAGGGCATTCTGATAGTGATGGATTGCCTTTGGGTTTTTAATATGTTCAAAATGGCGCGAATTCGGTAGAGAGTCTCAAGAATTCTGAAGCGTCGATATGCCGCCCACTCACAAGTTTGCAACCGGCTAATACCACCCACGGATAGACGCTGAGCAAAAGTGCGACATACCTTCTTGTGATATCATTCCTCCGACTACCTCTTAGAATCCAAGCTGCCATTCTTAATAAGACGAATACAAAAAATAATACCAAAAATAAATGATCTTTTTCGTTTTATGTAGTAGCATGGCGATCCAGAAACGAGATAGAACGCAACAGTCATCTATCCCAGGCAGTCAACGGGACTTTAAAAAAGCTATCTGGTAATCGAAAGGGAATAGATAAACGACGAAGAAAGTTTATGAGTTTATAGGATGATGAATTATTATTTACATTATTTACATACGAACTAATGTCCTAATATTTGTTTTATCAACTGCTTTGACCTCCGGTCCTCGTCGCGATACGAATATTCTTTTTAAAGTATAGCCTAATGATCAAATTGATTCGTGAATTTGAGGTAAATATAATTGTGAATTCAAATCCTGGACTGGCCAGTATAGTTTAGACTCAGTGAAAACATGAGAAACAATAACAGAATACTACAAAAAAAGAAAAATGATATCCCGAGACACGGACAGAGAAATAAAACCAGTTTCCACCTGGAGATTAAAAGAAGGGTGCAGTTTAAATTTTTGACAAAGGTTACTCGAATCGACAGACACTTGAATAAGGCTGGAAAACGCAGTTGCTGAAAACCTGTGATAATTACAAAGATGAAGATATTAGTCCGAATGTAAATCATACTGAATAGTCAACTGAAATTTGCATTTGTTTTCTTTCGTGAGGGTGATAGCTGATATTCATATACAAAATAAAAATATATAAAATAGACCTTGCTGAGACAAATGTAGTGATTATACATACATATATATATAGATTATACACTATATATATATACATATATAATCACTAAATAATTATTACTATATTATTATTATTATTATTATTAATGTCAAACTTTAACAGCCAAATATAAAAATCTGTTTTTTCAAATGCCCATATATATCAATTTACTCTTCCTTTTCTTTACCTCCATCTTTTACAAACTCTCTTTTCCATTTCTTTCTCAAACCCTACTTCCCCCTCTACTTTCTTATATCTCTACATTCTTTTTTTTCTCTTTATCTTGTTTCCTGTTAGATGACTTATTAAATAGGTCAATGTCTGGTCCAAATCCTACCCTCCTTTACTCTTAAATATCTTGATAACAATAGATTAATAATTATTCCTATCTCTCCCTTCCCTCTCTAATTTCAACCGTGTCTGTCATACTCCTCCTCCTCTATCTCTATATCACATTATATCAACTTAAAACTACCCATCAAATATATATAAAAACTGCATGTAAATTTAAAACATATTTTTTATCTTTGGAAGTGCGGTCTGATGAACCAGGTAAAAATCATATACCTGGGGAAATAAATTATAACCAATGGAACCTAAAGGTTGTCTGTTTTCTATTTAATATATATATATATATATATATATATATATATATATATATATATATATATATATATTTCAAAATTCACTTGAAAATAAACAGAACTAGGGACTTTAATTCTATAATTGAATTGGAAGTTTTTAGCTTCTTTTTTTGAAACATGGTAATTCCTGAGTAGCGATAGAAAAAATGCTCTGTAGATTTGTATTGAGCACTGTTTAATAAGAACACCAGATTATATATCTTACTGTTCTTTCTTTTTATCATAATATATGTATTGGAAGTGAGGTCTGATCATCCAGGGAACAAGAAGATCCCTGGGGAAATAAATTATAACCTTATGGAACCTTAAAGTTGTCTGGTTTTCTTTAAGTTTTTATATATATATATATATATATATATATATAAAGCTAAGATCAAAAAAATATTTCTTTAAGTTAATATATATATATATATATAAAAGATAAACAAATACACTCACACACACACACACACATACATATATATATATATATATATATATATATATATATGTGTGTGTGTGTGTGTGTGTGTGTGTGTGTGTGTGTGTGTGTGTGTGTGTGTGTGTGTGTGTGTGTGTGTGTGTAGTTGTTTATCTTTTTATATTGCTTTTTATTGAATAAATTAAATTGGCTCAACTGGACCAATGCTTGCTAACTTGAAATCATCAAAGAAACATACTGAAAAATTGTGTTGACAACAAATGCAGTTTCTGTGATGAATATCTAGAAACCATTGACCATTTTGTATCATGTTTCACCGAATATGTTACTCAGAATGACAGGGTGAGCCAATATCTACAGTGTAAAATCTGCAACTTTAACGGAAAGGAAACTGCATGAAATTGGTATGAACACCAGTCGGACACGGCTATTATCATAGGAGCTGTAACAATTTTACTGGACTTATAATACAAACAGACATAATAATCAAAGACTACAAAACCGAATGTGCTTTCTAATTGACCTGTGAATTCCTGCAGACTGTAAGATCTTTAATAAACTATCAAAATACAAGGATCTTGAAGTTGAAATTTAAAAGACTCGGCACATCAATAATTCTAGATGTGGTTGGGGACTTGGATTTGATTGGAAAAGTTTCTGATACACTCATTGATAGTATCTCTGATGTTCATGTCTTAAACAAATACACAATATTGTTCTCACAAGACAAGCTCGCACCTTACGAAGGGCTTTATCTATGTAAAAGGTGTATGCATTTATAAGTAGTTGCTTTTTCTGCTTTTTCTGCTTTTTCTGCTTTTTTTTTAATGTGCAACAGAAAATGACATGATGCCATTTCTGACCTTATATCTGGCGGCGTGACGGAAGGAAATGAGTATACAACAGAAATCAAAGGAAATAATAATAATAATAATATTCTTACGAGTACAGCTCACACCTTACGAAGGGCTTTATCTATGTAAAATGTGTTTGTGTGTTTCTTCCTTTTATTAATTGCTCAGTGTAAAATGTCATGATGCTATTTCTGACCTTACCTCTCTGGACAGGACCCGGAAAAAATGAGTACACACTAGAAATCAAAGGAAATAAAATAACAATAATAAGAAGAAGAACAGACAGGAAAAATTATACAAATAGACCAGAAATAGTCATAAATTTCAAAAAAGGGACCTTCTAATTGATATGGTTTGGTCACAGAATTCCAATGTTTCTAAAAAAAAAAAAAAAAAACAAAAAAACTGTCAAATTACAATGACTTGCAAATCGAAGTCACAAAAATGTGAAAACTTAAAACTACAATTATCCCAATGGTGATAAGGGCAGTGGGTATTAAGAAGCGTACCTGAAATCAGGGGAGTAAGATTCCTTGATACATAGGCATTTCAAATCGACAAAAGAGTACTATATGCGGAATTGCGCATACCTTGCACAAAACCATCTCCATCTGAACGAAACGCCCCAAATGTGCATAGATAACTCTCCCAGAGTGCACTTTTTCTTATAGACCCCGGAGGGGACTTGGTAATTAGGCGTTTAAAATTACTCTCTGTCAGAATGATAGCACATATAATGATAACAATAATAATTTCCCGGAAGGAAATGAATATTCAACAGAAATAAAATTAAATAACAACAACAATAATAATAATAATAATAATAATAAAAGAAAGAAAGAAGGAAAAGAAAGACAAAAAAATGAAAGAAAGAAAGAGGAAACAAAAAATAATGAAAGAAAGAAAAAAGAAAAATAGAAAGAAAGAAAAGAAACAAAAAAGGAAAAAGAAAAAAGAAAGGAAGAAAAGAAAGAAAAAAGAATGAATGAAATAAAGAAACAAAGAAAGAAAGAAAAGAAAAAAGAAAGATGGAAAAAAGACAGAAAGAAAGAAAAAATAATTTCAAACATCAAAGCCGTTAAATTTTTAACGGGTACTACCAGTAGAATAATAATTTTGTTAAATTTTGGTATTAATGTAAAATGAACATGAACAGATGGAAGTAAAAATCAAACGGTACGCCAACTCCATTTTCCGTATTGATAACCGTTATCACACAAATTATTCAAGCCTGATTCATTAATAATAATAATAATAATAAAATATAATAATAATAATAATAATAATAATAATAATCAATAATCAATAATAATAATAATTCGATGTTAATTGACAGGAGGTTTTAACACATTCAATTTTTTTTCGTGGTGAATGAAGATCGGTTGCAGTAAATATGCCGTTCCGTGCGATAGATTTACTTGTCAGTGACTCTGACCATAACCAGCTGTACTCGCATCCGAGGTAATGACAAACAGGGAATCTCTGTTCATGGGCGAGAGCAGTCAGGGAGCATCATGAGTGGATATTGAAAGGGATTTTTTTTTTAGTTTGTAGAGGCATACTTGAAGTCACACTAGATATTTGAGAATATCTTCAATCGGAGACTTTCTGACTGAATTGGGATACCTGACCTGTAGGTATTTCTAACCGGGCTATGGCTGAAAGGTCATACGCTGCTTTTATCAAAAGCTGTCATCATATTGCGCACATTTGGATGTGCTCTATGCACCTGCTATAATGACATCATGACATTTTCCACTGACAAAAAAAAATATTACATAGATATCTATGTAATAAAATGAAGGGCTTTATTATTATTATTATTATTATTATTATTATTATTATTATTATTATTATGATACTGCACATTAAGAAAATCACTGGAAAACCATCCCAAATACAAAAGATTCTGCTTATGACAGAAAGAAACACTCACAATCTAATATGGTCAGTCATTTCCCAAGAAAAACTTAGGTAAAGGATTTTATTAAACAGTAAGAAATTTGCAAATTATTATTATTACTATTTAATTTCGGTTCAGTAAAATCCCTTCCCTACGCAAATCCTACTGTTAAGTGACACGTAATATGTACGGTGTGTTACTTTCTTAACATTAAAAGAACCTCTTCCGAGTTGATAAGCATTTCTACACAGTTTAATTTTATGAATTTTCTGTAAACTGGGGCTGTCAGAGATATCATTAATGTGCTTGTCTGTACGTTTTTGATCGTACCCAGGATTCCTATTATTATAGGTGTCACAGTATTTTTAAGGTACCACATTTTTATGTCAGTACTACGTGTCACTTAGCATTAGGATTTGTGCAAACATATATTTACTAGCTTGCTTAAACCCAGGTCTCAGATAATGACTCGGAAAGGGTTTGCAAATATCAGAAATTAAGTAATACTAATAATAATAAAAAGAAGAACGAGAAGAAAAACAAAGTTGTAGAAAAAGAAGAAAATAGAAGTAATAGTAGTAATAGTAGTAGTAGTAGAAGAAGGAGTAGAAGAAGTATTAGAAAAAGAAGAAGAAGATGAAGAAGGAAAAGAAGTAGAAGGAGAAGTAGTTGTAGTTGTAATAGAAGAAGAAGAAGTGAAGTAGATGTAATAGTAGTAGAAGTTGGAGAATAATAACAATAATAATAATAATAAAGAAGAAGAAGAAGAAGAAGAAGAAAAAGAAGTAAAAGAAGTACTAGAAGAAGAAAAAGAAGAAGTAGAAGTAGTAGTAGTAGTAGAAGTTATAATAATAATAATAATAACAATAATAATTAATAATAATAATAATAATAAGAAGAAGAAGAAGAAGAAGAAGAAGAAGAAGGATTGCTAGCAGAAAAAGATGGAGGAGAAGAAGAAGGAGAAGTATTAGTTGAAAAAAGAAGAAGAAGAAGAAGAAGAGGTGAAGTAGATGTAATAGTAGTAGAAGTTGGAGAATAATAATAATAATAATAAGAAGAAGAATAAAAAGAAGTAAAAGAAGAAGTACTAGAAGAAAAAGAAGGAGAAGTAGTAGTAGTAGTAATAGAAGAAGAAGAAGTGAAGTAGAAGTAGTAGTAGTAGAAGTAGTAGTAGAAGTTATAATAATAATAACAATAATAATAATAATAAGAAGAAGAAGAAGTGCTAGCAGAAAAGGATGGAGAAGAAGGAGAAGTACTAGTAGAAAAAGATGGAGAAGAAGAAGAAGAAGAAGAAGAAGAATTGCTAGCACAAAAAGATGGAAGAGAAGAAGGAGAAGCACTAATAGAAAAAGATGGAGAAGAAGAAGAAGAAGAAGAGATGTGCTAGCAGAAAAAGATGGAAAAAAAGAAGTAGCAACAGTAGTAGAAGATGTAGAAGAAGAGAGAAAAGTAGTAGTAGTAGTAGTAGTAGTAGTAAAAGAAGGAGAAGTGAAGTAGTAGAAGTAGTAGAAGAAGAAATTATAGTTTTACTGATTTGCTATTTAATACAGCCTTTACCTGATACCTGTGGTAAAGTATCTTACAAAGTTATGAGGTATATTAGATTGAGAGTTGTTTCTCTCATAAGAACAATGTGCGGTATAATAATAATAATAATAATAATAATAGTAATAATATTAATAATAGTAATAATAATAATTATTATTATTATTTGATATCCTCTCCGACTCTTAAATATTTCGGTTGGGTGTTTGATGGTCATCTCAGCTCCTGTCCGCAGGTTAGAGACAGAACACTTTTCTGGCTTACGGCCACATCAAGTTGAAACACCGGTCCCCGTACGATCACCGAAGTTAAACAACGTTGAGCCCGGCCAATACTAGATGGGTGCCTGCTTGGGAATACCTGGTACCGTAATCTTAGATGCGTGTGTGTTGTGAAATAGATAATGGCACAGAATTTTTAATCGATGAGCAGAGTTCCAATTCCAGTTGGTTTCGTTATATCCACTTACGTGCAAATACTCTTCGGAAAGGTATGAATAAATCTCTTCCCTCTCCTAGCTATGGGTTAAGTAGTAATATTTGCATCACTAAATCATTATTATAAAATTCTTGCAATCTAAAAAAAATCTAGTTTGAAATAACCCTCAAACGATAAATAAGCCGTATAAAACACACTTTTCTCAGCACATGAGCTGATCTAAGCAGTGCTTTGTATATATACACTCTCGATAATGTCAGTTAACTCCACGGCGTCCTGGAAATCGTCCCAAGTGCACCAACCAGAAAAGGGACAAATAGGGCTGCTACCTGGTATATTTATTTGATTTTCCCTGTCAGTATGTTGATGTTACCGGGGCACACTGTTAGTAAAATTGTCCATTCCTTTTCTCACGAGGTTCAGAGCTCCGATTACTATTGGTACAGTCGCATTTTTCATTCCCTGTTAATCTCGATCTCCAGGTCCTTGTATTTCGACAATTTCTTGATAATTTTCATGGAGGTGTTTCTCTCGGACTGCTATTGTCTATAAGAATACACTTCCTGAATTTCTTGTTTTTTATATATCAGGTCTGTTGGCTTTTATTTCCCTGTCAGTTTGAACTGGCATTTCCCATTGGAGAGTTACATCGTTATTTTGGTTAACTGAGTCTGATTGGTGTTCATACCATCTCTCAGTGGTTTCGTTTTTGTGCTTCTTGCATATCTTCCAGTGCACATATGTCGCTACCTTGTTATGCCTGTGGATATATTCATTTATTTGCCAGTTCTGTACATTCTGATATAATATCGTCGACAGTTTCAACATATTTTCCACAGATCCTGCATTTCGAGTTAGTTCCATCTTTGATTATGTGACAGTGAGAGGACTATTATTATTATTATTATTTCTAGAATCGGCTTCTTTTAAGCAAATATTTTATTTCACTTCGTCGTTTCGCCAACATGTTCTCACGTATATAGAAATTAGAATCTGTCTTTAATTTGACATTTTCTTGTATTTCTTTTAGTATTGTTTTTACTTTTATTAAAAAAGAACTAAAATAAATGTAATGAAAACGTGCTTGCAAGTTTTAATAATTTAATTCTAAATGGAATCACAAAGCAATATAGTTATAGGGATAGAGAAGGTGACTATCTTCCTTTGGTAGAGGTACGGGAATTGGGCTTCCTGAGAGCCGCGTAGTGACGCCACACGATACAGTGACGACAGTTCATACAGAAACAAAAGCGGCAGTCAATTTCAGTTTTAGAGCAGCCAAACCGAAATGTTGCTTTCTTTTGCTATCTCTCATAATCCCTGTTTTGCTAACAACCGTTTACACAAGCTCGTTAGGTAGATTATGCGCTTCATTCCTCTGTGCCCCTTGCAATCAATATGCGGCATAATTCTCTAGAAATACATTTCTGCTGCCTCAATTTTTCCCTCGTGTGAGGAGATGATCATCACAACGTTTCAGCCTTAGTAGCCTCTAGACTTTTTCCTGTATCTGTCAATCCGGGTAACATTTACGGGCTTCAAACTGAACTCTTAGTTAATTTATTAGGATAGATTTGTTCTCGTATTCTCTCACACTATTGCGTCTTAGTGGCTTTATTGCCTTGCCTTGGTGTGAAATGAATATAAAACTTCTTTTTCTGGAGATCTTGTCTGGTTTTTAGTATTTATTGTTTATTTCTCGTTCTGTTTTCCCTGAGTCAAAAGTTGTAAAATCAGGATGCAAGGATTGAACTCACGATTAATTTGTCACCAAATTCGCGAACAGACGCTTTAATCCACTAGGCCATTGTAGCTTGTTAGGAGGTGCTGAAAAGTTCCGTGTCAGATCTACTTCCCAACAGCTCACTAAATGATCAAATATTAGAATTTGTTTTTGGAATCTTGGATAGCATAATATTTAAAAATGTTGGGAAATTTGAAATTAAACGAATTACCAAAATATGTCCCGAGAGACAAGACAAATCGTTAAACTCGCTATAAGCAGCCAAGAAAAATGTGTGAATGGCCACAGGAAATTGGCTGTCTTCGTCGAACAGACCTACAACGGATGACTATGATAAATATGTGTACACTTTCTTTGTAGCATTGCACACACTTTTTTCTTGGGTTTTATCATAATAATCAATTTTTGATTCGTTAACCTAGACATAACCACGAAACTTTGATATCGTGTTCCACAACTCATTTCTAAATGTTAAATAAGCTAATAAATTGTTTTCTGTTTTCAAAAGTAAATAATTTTCCTCATAAGTTGCTTAACATCGCCTGGTGACAGAATAATTTTAAGTTCCGAAACATAGAAAATTTTATGTAGCGATGTAAAATATTTTCAATAAAAAATAAAGAATGACTTGCTTGCATTTATATATATATATATATATATATATATATATATATATATATATATATATATATATATATATGAAGAAATATAGTTTTAAGATGTGCTATATTTATGGGATAAAGTGCTCAATATCAGAGATAGAGCGTGTGTAAATATAAAAGTGAAATTGAAGTCAACATTTTAGAGGGAAATCTGTTTCATGCTCGATGCAATCATTGGGCCTGAAACAGACTGTCAGATCAAAAAAATGATTTTTTTTTTTTTAAATAAATATATATATATGTGTGTGTGTGTGTATTATTATTGTTGTGTGTGTGAAATGTGTTTGTGAAATGTATGTATATAAATATAAATATATATTCTAAGACATTTTTATGTTTAACATTGTTTTTATAGATACAAATATTTAAGTAAATGTTCTGTTTATAATAAACAGTATTAAACAACATTTACCGGCCTAAATGTACGAGAAATTTTCACAGAAAATATTTTACATCGCTACATAAAATTTTCTATGTTTCAGAACTAAAATTATTCTGTCATCAGGCGATATTAGGCAACTTATGAGTTTTCTTTTCTTTCTTTTTTTTTAAATGTCTGCTTTTTTCCCCAATGTATTGTGAACAACAGTCAAGAACATTTATTTTATATATAACTATTAACGATATCTTTTTTTTTTTTTTTTAGATCTGACCATTTCATGATGGTTTTGAATGTGGTTGTAACTATTTGCATGTTGTTTTGATGGGATAAGGTATTTGGATAGTGGACGTTATAGAATTGGTAAATAGTATTATGTATCTACTTTGGTTAATTTATTATTGTGAATAGTGTTGTTATTTTAATTGCTGTCGTATATTTTTTTATTTTTTATCTTTGCGTTTGGTTGAAGGATGGTTTTAAAAATATTGGAATTATTTATTTATATATATTATATATATATATATATATATATATATATATATATATATATAAAAGAAAATACTTCTGCAATTATAGATTTTTACTTAAGTTCAAACAAGACAATTTGTTTAAGCCGATAAATACACATTTCTCTCACCAACAAGACAGAATTATAAAGGGCTTTTTACTCCTGTGCGCCAAGTAAAGCAGTGAAGAAATACATATATTTAACGAAATTCCAAAATTATCTGACAGTGTCAGGACCTAAGCAAAGATTGAATTCTTCTTTTTTCAAAAGACTGAAACCTGATATATTTACTCTGACTATTTCAAGTGTTTTCCTCTGTTGGCGCCTGTATGGGTTCCGTAAATAAATTTAGTATGACATTGTTTAAACGTATTCCATCAATAAAAATAAAACAATTAGCTATTCAGGAATAAACACTATCCATAGTTGTGACTATATACTTGTACGAAAGATACGTAGCGATTTAATGCTTTCCTCGGTGTCTTCTGCCTTCAGTAGATCATGTGAGTGTCAGATTCTCCAATCCCTCTTTCCACCCTATGCGCCCTAGAAATTTCTTTCGTCTCGTTCTGATTGTAAGGATTAATCTAAAACAATTTCCCACGAGTAATTAAGTTACACTTCTCTTTTTTCTTTCTTTTTTCGTCCTCTTTTTTTTCTTTTTTCTTCCACTTTCTTTCTTTCTTTCTTTTTCCTTTTTTCTCACTCTTTTTCTTTTTTCTCCCTCTTTCATTTTCTTTCATTTTTCTTCCTCTTTCTTTGTTTCTTTGTTTCTTTCTTTCTTTCTTTCTTAATTGCTGTTGTTTCCATGTCTACCCTGACCCGAGTTAGTAGCACCTGTTAGTGTCCCAGATATGGACAAATAGTGAACCTCCAAAAAACCAAAAAAAAACGCAAAAAACAAAGCAAAACAAAAAAACAGAATCAACACACTAGGAAAATAAATATGAAGCTATTGGAGTAGAAGAGACGGCTAAATTTAACAGTTTCAACAGTGAAAAGGTGAGAGCGGGATACCAGCCTCGTAGGACGCTTGAATTCATGAATTTTGGGAACCAGCGAAAGCAGCTCATCGGATCAATTAGCATGAAGGTATTTGTAAAAAAGACAGAGAGTGGCGACGGAACGTCTGTGAGAGAGCGACTGCAGACGAGATGCCAGATCAGGGCCAGTTATATTGCATATCCGTCTCTGGATCTTATCAAGAACTCCAAGGCAAATAGAAGGGGCTCCAGACCATATATGGCAGCAATACTCCATGCAAGGGCGAATGGTTGATTTGTAGATTTGAAGGATCGATTCCGGGAAGAAAAAATTCCTGGCGTGGCACAGGGAGCCAACTTTCCTTGCGGTGGACGAAGCAATTGACTCAATGTATTTGTTCCATCTTAGGTCAGCAGACAATGTAAGACCGAGCAGCCGCAGAGAGGTGCTCTTGAGAAGTTGAGCGTCAGACATTCTAATGGGGGGCATAGAAGGATCTCTGTGGTGAGTAATAGAGAGCAGTTTTGTTTTTGAGGCGTTAAAGTTAACCAGCCAATTCCTGCCCCAGTTCACAACCGATTGGAGGTCCTTTTCGAGGGTTTTGTCAGCGACACTAGATTTGTTTTTGAGGCAAATACAACAGGAGATTTATAAATCTGCATGATGGATTCTAACGAGAAATTTTTTTTCTGGCACGACATAGTAAGCCAACTTTTATCGCTGTTGATGTAGCAATTAATTCGATATAATCGTTCTACTTCATGTCATGAAAAAAGAAAGATAAAGTAGGCGAAAAATTTTATTTTCTTGGAGTTTAGTCTTAGTCAGGCTGATGACAGGCAGAAAAGGTTCTCTGTGGTCATTAAATCCAAACAGTTTTGTTTTGGGGGCATTAAAATTTACAAGACATTTCTTGCCCCCTTACTGATTCGAGGTCTCTTTCGAAAGCAGTTGCCAGTTTTACGTTGTGGGGCCTGTCGGATTTTTTTACTAAGACAGAAGTAAATGGTTGTGACATCTGCATAAATGCCTATATAAAGGAAACCACGCATCTTCTGTCTTTGTTCTTATGTTCTGTGAGTCTAATCAACCCTATATACACTTGACCACACGAGGTGAAAAAGAATAAGATCCATTTTTTTATTATTTAAATGTGAGAAAATCAATGAAATTGCTTTGCTCAGACAACTTGTATCGATCGACTGAAGATTAAACTGTTGGTTCCCGAAATTAAAGGGAAATCATGCATACAATGATCAAATATTGCTTTCTATTTTTAACATTGCCAGCGAGCAAGAACAAGTTTTTTGCTTGAGTACCATTGCGGAGCTATTGGGAATCAAAAAGCATATAATGAAAACGTAAAAGAATATACCGGGTGGAAGGAGGGAGAAGCTGTAAAGAAGAGAGGGAAAATGGAGAGAGTAGAAGCACAAATGACACTGCTGCGGTTGATTGTAAGAGAAGGACAATAAAAAGGAAGAATAATGAAAGAAAGTGAAGAAAACATAGAGAAAGGGAAAGGAAGAGGTAAAGATGAAAAAAAGATCTGAAAAAAAGATGAAGTGAGATAGGTAGCTAGATAGAAATATCTTTTGAAAAGATGAAAAGCGATAAAAAAATATAAATGAAC